TCCTGGCCAGCCAGACTAATCGGGGGAGAGAAATGGCCTGGCGAGCCGGAATTTCCAACTACGTGTAATTACCAGCATTCACTGGCTTTTATCAGTGCTGAAAAATGCTGGTAAAAGCTGCTACCGGCATTTTAATTGTTTGAATCCCACAAGCAGAAGATAGTGAATAAGCTAAATTCTGTTCGTGGGATTCAAACTGAGTCAAAGTGGATTTCCCTGCCACGACGTTGGGGGTGGGGGAGCTGGGCCGGGGGAAAGGCATGTACTGGGAAAGTGGACTCGCAGCAATTTACACATGGATCCGCGGACATTGTTTAAAATTTTCAGATTCGAGCCCTATCCGGCTTTGTCCAAATTCTGGATACCTGGAGTCTAGTAAGCCAGGGGAGCTACTGTAATAATAATGCATTTGATAAGGCGCCTTTCGTGTCGGGAGGACGTCTCAATTACTTTAAGGTTTAGTGACTGTACTATTTGTAGGTGAACACAGAAGGCAATATATGCACAGCAGTGTTCTCCAAAACAGCATGAAGTGAATGACCAATATTATTTGGAGGATTGGGGGCTAGCACAGTGGGAGAAACTCTCTTATCTTTTCAGTAATAATAATACTAATCCTTGCATTTAAGATTCCATATCCTCAGAGATGGCCTCCATTAATTGCATACTGGGGTCTATCTGAGATCCAAATCAGAATATACATAAGGGAGTCCGGAATTACAGCATGGGCAAATGGAGAAGTGTTTGCAGAAGTAACTACTTCTTCGGATAGACAGGAAATTACAGTGACATTTATTTGTGTAAGCTATAGCTTGAGTAAAACAAAACATAAGAAGTCAAATGTAAGACCGTTTTGATTTCACTTCTGCTTTTTGCTGCTATCTAATTGCAGCACAGAGATCTACCGTGCTTGATGTCATATTTGGCAGGCACGACTGAAACTAGATAATGTGTGCAATATATTCGTTTGTACACTAAAAATACATACAAAAATATTTGCTTGGTTGTCCTAATCATGCTCAAATGGTAAGTCCACTATGTTGAGTCACTCAAATCAAGAAGACTTTTATCTTCAGATTGAGCCCCGTTGAACACTCATCTTTAATGTACGAGTTCCATGAATAAAAATATCTTCTTGATTCATACTTACTGAACTGCCAAAAAGTTACAGGTCAGCCAAACACCTACAAGTTTCACTCAGCTGACCACTCACGGTAGAGGGAGGAATCTTTATCTAGCAGAATCAAATCCATGTTTGTCAACCGTCTGATGTTCAACTTGTGACTATCCTCCTTCGGGGGGGGGGGCGGGCGGGGGTGTGTGAAGAAGAACAAGAACAGCAACTTACACTTATAGAGCATTCTCCACACAGGGTAGTATCTCAGAGCGCTTAATAATGGCGGAGCCTGACTCTGAGCCGGGGGTATGGAGGTGACCATAAGCACTTCCGAAGAGGAAGGTTTTCAGGTGGGGCTTGAAAAAGGGGAGAGGGGGCGCAAGGCGAGGGATTGAGGGAGAGTGTTTCAGAGTTTTGGGCCATAGTGGCTGAAAGCGTGACCTCTGATGGTGGGGCGGAGGGTGCGAGGGACGAGCAGGAGGCCGGTGCCAGTCGAGCGGAGATCTTGGGTGGTGGATTGGGAAGTAAGGAGGTCAGAGACTGCATTGGTGGTTATTACCCTAACCCTAACCCTAGGGACATGAATCTATGTCATCCCCATCTTTGGCAATAGTGTATTGCTGTCCGAACGTGCTGCTCAACTCCATCTATACACATCATTTTCCTACGAAGCATTGCTCCTTACATTTTACTGTACCTTTGTTAGAGATATTGTAAAAAAATTAAAATAAGACCCACAAGGGGCTCGGCAGCCTAATGGTTTATAAATGAAATTAATCCCATCAGAACCAAATATTCATTTTGACTTTACCCAAACGCAGTCCTACAAACTATCTCGTGCAGACAACTGGGAACATAACCAGGGGTTTTAATACCCACTGCTGGCACTCTACACCTACTATACCACAAAGTAATTTGTCAGCATGTAAAAGGAGACTCTTGATTATCATGATAAAATAAAATAACAGCCACTCTGCTCTGCTGTACATTTGCTTTTATAAATCCTTATTTAGATAACCGCATTTGCAAGCAGTCTCCTGTTATGTACGTCACTGTACTTCCTGAACTTTGACATGTGACCAGTACGAAAGTACATTCAAACTACCCTGTTGACTGTAACTGATTTGCTTCTTGCATTCAATTGCAATATCATTTCCTGTATGATCTCTCAAGAAATCTGCAGTGGAAGAGATATGTGTCTTTTGCAGAAAGAGCAGTTGTGCCTCATGATCTCCCCATTCCCTCCGCCTCCACCCCAAATGTCTGAGAATTGAACACATTTCTTCTGGTTGACACTCCATTTGTTTATCATTCTACCAAAGGGGTTGTCCAATATAAACCTGTTTTAGATTTTTAATAATAAGTTGGGTCTAGCAAAATTTTAAGAGGTGTGCACTGTTTGAGACTGTTTGGTATCATTCTGGTTTAAAGCAAATATTAGAATGTAGCAACGATATTACCTTCAATTTAACAGAAATGGGGAAATCTCATTCAAAGACTATCAAGATTGAATTTGCTGCACAAGTTTACATTTTAAGGCAAAGGCCAAGACCTTGAGATATTCCATGCCTCTAATTCATTCATCTTTCGGGGTAACTAATAAAGAATTAATGATGTGTTCTCTCTATGTTTCGTTCATCATTGATAAAAATGGTCAGTGCCAAAAAATGTCAAAGACATATAATGAAGCCGGCACCAAACTGTTGCTATCAATGATTTGGTGATGTACAATTTATTCGTGCCTTTTCAACCCACGCAGGATATGAGCCTCTAATGCAGCACGCTATTATTTATGCTTGACATTTATATCCTGCATTAGTATACAGAAAAATTACAGCTTCTGAATCATAATTACATAGATACCATTCAATCAGCAAGTTATAGTTTAATTACTGCCGGTTTATTATACCAAAACAACCTACTTTTTTAAAATCATACATAAACTGCACGTTTTGTTTTACGGTAAATCATGCTGCTCTGAACCAAAGGCACTCAAACCATTTAAGACAGTCAGTGACACAGGAAGCAAAGCTACATCATGGAGTACTAATGGTTATGCTATGGATTACATGCTGATTTTTGAGGTATTCTATTGGAGTATTAATGTGATTGATAGGAGATGGAACTTGTATTATTAGTGCATGTAATTTTGAAATATCTCAAAACGCTTAACAGTAATTAATGTCAAGTGTAGTGACTGTTTTTTCTATAAAGAACAACAACAAATTGTATTGATTTATACGCAGAGGCAATTAGTGCACAACAAAGTCTCATAAACAGTCTACGGTTAACGGCTGATTAATCTGAAGCACTGTAAGCAGTATAGCACAGTGAAGCGATAGGCTGTAGGGCTTTCCCTGGAATTTCACAAGGTTAGTTTACAATCTTGGGACGAGGTGTGAGAAAGAGATGTGCCACACTGTGCTGTAATATTCTATAATTACATCAACCCTAACCCTAATGTGTGTCAGCCTGGATTAGTTGATAGCAGTCTCTCCTTTTGAGTCAGAAGGTTGTGGATTCAAGCCCTACATCGGGATTTGGAACTCATATCGTCTGAGAGTTTCTCTAATGGAAGATGTTGTGTTTTGTGTTTGTTGTGTTGCACTAAATATATAATATTCTCCAACTAAATATATATTTTCATTAAAAAAGATAGTTTAACGTGATACGCCAGTGCAGTGCTGGGGTTGTGTTGCATTGTTGGAAGTGCTGTTCTTCGGATATGACCTTAAACTGAGGCTCTGTCTGTCCCTTTAAGCCCCTGTAGTTATGTAATTTTGTATTGTATTGTTCATCTCAAAGCCCTTCACAAGATCTTACTGTAAAGTGTAGTGACTGAGTATGTGTAGCTGAATTTTTCATTAAAAATGTTGTATTGTTGGAAGTGCTGTAGTTCGGATATGATGACATTTAACTAATGTAGTTGAAGTTGAAAGTATTTGTAGTTCAAAGTGGCAACTAATTTGTACAGAGCAACGTCTCACAAACGGCCATGAAGTAAATGATCATTTTTGTTTCTGGGGAAATTGTTGGCCAGGCACCAGAAGGACCTCTGTTCACTTTTTCGAATAGCGCCATGGGATCGGGGAGATGGGATCTCAGTTCATCGACTCATCCATCGACGGCACCTCTGACAATGCACACACACCCCTCATCAATGCATTGGAGTGTCAGCTTAAGACTACGTCTTAAGTTTTAAGTCCCGACATGAGGCTTAAACCCACAACCTTCTGACTCAGAGGCAAGAGTGCACCAGGCTGACACATTGTTACATTCAATAATGATTTTAAAATTTGTTCTGGAAATTCCACATGCAGAATCTCACTATATGTAAACGAGGAACTATATATTTCTCATGGGCAGAGACTAATTGTGGCTTAAACATTTCTCATTCACAACGATTGAAACTCATGTGGCTGAAACTGACATGATAACTTGGAGGCAAGTTAAACTTTGAAATGACTTTGAAAGATCTATTTAATCCTTCTATATAAACTAGTTCAGGAAGTGAGGAATAATTTACATGGATTTAAATAACTGCTGCGGAGCAGAAAGGTTGGGGCAAGAAATGATGTGTGTAATTATATATTGGGAGATCAATTTGAATAAAGAATATTGGATTTCCTTAACAAAAATCTTTTCTGTTTTCAGTATTTTGATGTGAAAATCATTTCACCATTACTTTTACAATCATTATCCTTGCATTGGATATAGTGCCTTTTCATATCATCGAGGCACCTAAAGGAGCTTCACAGGATTTTACAGTTCAGTTAATACAGAGGATTTCTGTCTGTAACGTTTGACCTATTTCCAGATATCATACAACCCCTTTGGTTTGGTGAAACTCCTGAAAGATTTGATAAAATACACGGCGAATCTGCACTTTTTAAATCAACTTTATTTTAAAACTCTTGCATACAGAACAACACAATATCACAGCTACTTAATGCAATATTCAAACAATTTTAACAATGAGAACCTCTGTCTACAAGACATACTTTGTAAAAGTCATGAATGAACAGACTACCTTAAAATGGCTAACACAAATACTCTAATCAATTTCTCAGCGCTTTAAAGCTGTGCAGTGTACACTTCTACATTAAAACTATATTAAACAGCACTAAATATTGCAAAGAAAATACAACTCTAAATAACTAGGTAATATTTCAAGTTCTAGATTGACAAAAACAAAATACACTCTTGAAATCAAATAGGAAAAAAGTGGAATAATTAAGTGAGACAATTCAAATGAAAAAGTATTTCTTAAAATTTATCAATCAAATGTATACTGCCACAAGGAAAAACAAAATACCTAAAGACTTAAAAATGTCCTTTCATAATGTTAACAGATGCACTGTGGCTACAAATAGAAAACAATTGATTCTGATAATATATAAACTACCACCTAACTCAAGATCCATCTTATCCAGGATTTTAATCCTCTGGTTCGGACTGAATGGGGCATGCTTAATTTTCTACATTGCAGCACCTTTAATAAATGTCGGCAAAGCTTAAACGCCATTCTTAGATCCATTTCAACCCTCCCACCCCCCCAAATCCTCTTTTCACCAGGAACCTCTTGGCATCATCGCATCCTACAATACTTTACGTCTGCAATGCTCACTCAACTTCATTTTACTGGGTGTTGGCCTCCCTTCCAATTTAATTGCTATACCTGTCAGTCTCCAACTGTCCAATCCCCATTTGGCTGGGAAGACAGGTTTGAGAAAAAGTAAGCCCCACTGAAATTAAAGGGAGCAAAGTATGACTAAGAGGCCATTACTCATTTACCGCTTTGGAACAATTAACATTTCTCAATTTCAAATCGCGTGACCAAAAATTTCTTGCAAGAATCTGATTTGAAGATCCATATGGCAATTAGGATTTATAGGTTTGTGCAACATCTGCTTTAGTTTTTGTTTTTGTTCCAGTCAGAGAAAGAATTTGAATAAAATGCATGTTTGAGTAATTGCAGTTCAACTTCTTTTTTAAATTCCTTGTATTATACAACACCAACTTTTAAAAACTCTCACCACATTCTCAACTTGGTTTGAATATTATAGATAATTGATATTATTTCAGGCCGCAGACCTCTATGCTGCAGCTACACACGACACATTCAAATGCTATAAAGTGTTCTTTAAAGTGTGTTTTCAGCTACTGCTGAAGTCCAGATTTTTCAGCTTGTGGACCATATTTATGTGTTCAATATAGTACTGTACAGAACAATCAGCTTAAAACAAGCTCCAGGTTACATTTTTTTAAACTAATTACTACATAGTAGTCAACAATTAAAGTTTCTTTTAACTGAAACAACAGACATTTGCCAGTGACAGGCAAATATTTCTATACAAATCTCACAGGACTGCCTAACTGACAGTGAGGGTCGACAGACAATTTTCCCATCACATCGTGTCAAAAGAGAGATACTCTTGATTGAACAGCTTTCCCCTTCAAAATTCGCTTGACCTACGAATAACAAAGTAATGGTTAGTTTACAAAAATCAGACTTCTGTCACCCATATTTTGCTTTCAATGTTATTTTTAAAATTTACTTTCATATTGTAATGTTTTGGGGGGATTCTTTTCTATTACTTTCACTTCTGCTAAAAAAATAAAAATCGATAGGTCATTATCTTATTTTTGTTTTGCCAAACAGACATGTACGACTCTCCTTTTACACTCACCTCTTCTCCTCTTGGACCATCTGGCACCAGGTGCACAGGTTGTTCATTTTCCAGGTTCCTGGCACTCGGATCAGCTCCCTTTCTCATCAGGAGTCGGACAGCGTCAACCTGGCTTACCCGACCTTGCAGGCCAGCCACGATGTGGAGAGCAGTGTTATTGCTGTATGCCTGCAGGGGAACGAAAAATAGTAAAACATTTCAAAAGGGAGGTATCAGATACACATTTTTTTTGGTGCATACTTGAGAGCCAATGTTCTGAGGCGTTCTGGAAAAATAGTGCTCTTATTATGAAGTTGCAGGCCCAAAATTTCACTTAGTCTTTGTCTGGAGGACCAATTTGTCTTACAGTTTGAGAATTGTGGAAAATTCTGAAATTCTAAGTTCCAATTTGAAAGCCTAAAAAAAAATAAAACTGGCTTCTGAATTAAGTCTCAATTACAGAATTTTGTCTCAATGGCTAACATTAAATGACACTTCATGCCTTTCATGCCTTACACTTGAATTACAATTTAAATATGTGGAACCTAGCAAGAATGTTAGAAAAGGCAAGTGGAGACCTGTAGCTCATGGTTAGAGCACTCGCTTTGCAAGCGAGAGACCTGAGTTCAATTCCAGGCAGAGGGCGAAACCTTGGGCAAGTTTCCTTAATCCACACGCCTAATAATAATCCCTCCAAAAACCCAAAACAATAATAAATTGGTCATTTTCCATCTACGACTGTTTGTGGGACATTGCTGTGCGCAATTGGCTGCCGCGTTCGCCCACAAATATACAGGCAATTCACTTTACAGTGTGTTCTGTGAAGCGCTTTGGGACGTCCTCCCAACGTGAAAAGCGCTATATTAAATGCAAGGATTATTATTATTATTATTAACACCCCTTCAAAAAAAGAGGTTATGACATAAAATTATTTGCCCATTGTTTCAAGGACCTCTTTCTTCGATTGAATGACTGACAGCCGACTGTGTTGCATTTTACCTTGGCATTCACAATGTTAAGACTGGTTGGTTGTTCAAGGAAGAAACGCAGAAGTTCAACATTTGCCTCCTCAGCAGCTAAGTGCAGAGCTGCACGTCCAGTCTTGCGTTCCTAGAGAAAAAAATGAACAACATTCAGAACACGAGGAGTAATTATATAATAGTCTAAGAATTCAAATGACCCCATGCCTCCAAAAGTTAATCACAAGTAATTGGGTTTATTCCCAAATCCAATTTAAAATTCAAAGTTGGTGTTAATATTACGTGTGTATCGTGTGTAAAGCTATGCATTATTCAGAACGTTGTAAACACAGTCGTAGAGTTTGCAATGGCATCTCATCCAGTCAAGGGCTGAGTATTTTGATAAGTATCTGTGTTTGAGATAATCTCAGGCTTATTCACACTGGCAAACAAGCTTGTTTCAATTACAAAATGTGAAATATTCCAAATTTGTTTTAAATACCATGCAATCCAACTACCCACATAACCCGAATGACCCTTGTATCACGTTAGAACTTACTCGTGTTTCAATGGATGCTCCCATCTGTACAAAAGTTTTGATAGTGTCCAACAAGCTCTTTTTTTTCATGAGCATCTCCTCCACAGAATGACACTGCTGTTGAACTTTATTGTGCAGGTCACGTACCATACTATTGTGGGTCAGTATTGCAAGGTGCAAAGCAGTCATACCTAAAAAAAATGGAAATAGAAGCCCATCATTAGGATCGAACAAGTCTTCTTCTCACACTGAGCAGATGTCAAGAATGCACATTTGCAACAATATTGTCCATTACAAAGTTGAAATGAAAAATTTGGATATTTTTGTAGTAATGCAGTGAATGTAGCCATGTGGTCATCAATATTACATGAAATATTCATTTGTGTCATTACTCAAAATTGGAAAAAAGAAAATACAGTGATTGAACTTACCATCAAAGTTTGTAACTTCAAGATTCAGACGCTGACCACTGAGTACCAAACCCTTTTCAATGGCCTGTGAGAAGCATAAAACAATGTATCAATACCGCAGGAAAATATACTGAAATTAAAAAAAAAGATAAATCACATAATAGGATTTAAATCAGTTTTGAATCGATTTCTTCTGGGTTTGAAAAGCACAAAGAGTGCTGCGAAAAGGAAAAGAATTACCGCAGTTAAGCACCTCTGCTAAAGTTCAGTGATACTTCGGAACGGAATTCAGCAATCGACTTCAAGAATCCACTTACCACAAGCACCTGAAAGTAACCCTTTTCCGCAACCACATGCAATGGTGTCCTGCCCCAGCGGTCTGCGGTGTTCACCTGCGCACCAAGGCTCGCCAGGTCCTGAACAATCAGGTGCTGGTTGGCAGCAACAGCGACCTGCAGGGCACTCTGCAAATGGAAAAATACTGCTGTTAAGGTTTGGCATTCACCCAAACTATACAAGGAAATGGTAGGGAAAGAAATACAGGAGGCAAATGACTAACTGATAATTTATTTTCAAAATAATTTATATCCGTAACGAGCAAACAACTTGGTGGCTGTTTTACAAATGCAAATGAGACTGTTGAAAAACAAGTCAATTTAAGTTAAACATTAGCAAGATTGTGTACTTTGGTACTGACTGGTGCAAATATGCCTTTGGTGCAAATACGAACTTCAGATGAGCTCGACTCTGGTACAAAATTGCCTTCTAAGAACACGCCCAAACCAATGCTCTTCAACCCCATTATCTACGATACCATATACACAATCGATATGGTATTGCAGATTTTTAGGTTGGTGAATGGTCAAATGTCCCTTAATATAAATTGTTGTCACTTCCACAAACACTTTGTAAAGTAACAATCAATAGAGATTGTTAATGTTGGAAACAGAAAACATTCGAGCATTATCCATTAACAATCAAGTCAAGTAGAGATCAATGGGATCTTATTCATCCTCACCTGCCCATTGTGTTCTTTAACATCCATCATGTTAATCGCAAACATCTTCTTCCCAAGGACATAGGAAAGAGCCCGTCTGCCCTGTGCAACAGCAATATGTAGGAGACTGCAAAGAACAAGTAATACAAATATTTTCAATATACAATCAGTTTATAGTGAAATTAGAGTATCAAAATGAATCAAACCCTTTGCAAAAGTACAAATTACAGCTATCAAGTCTAGTGTTTGATCTTTCACATTTATTGTTTTACTCAAATTGAAATTATTATTAACAAACATTAGCAATTTTGAGGACTGACTATTTATCAAAAGTTGGCAATTGTTAGGACCCTTCCCACATTGCATCTAAATTTCTGAAACTTATGAACGCAAATAGGGCTACCAAATAGTCTAGTGAGTGTGATGCACAGTACAGAATCCCCCAAACCTCATTCTGTAACATTTCTTGTGCTTATGTTAATGAGGTCATTTTTAGTATTCAATTAAGAATGTTAAGGGCCGCAAGTACTGTCATTGCATAACAGAGTACGTGGACCTTCTAAGCACTGTTATGAACAGGATATGTATACTACAGGGGAATTCCAAATCTCAATTCTGTTGCTAGGGCAAGGCATTGAGCAGAGATCAAGTGACATCATTTTTTTCTTAAGGGAGGGTTAGGAAAACACTGGGTCAGACATGAATGGCTATACTCCAGGCTAAAAAAGTAATAATTTCAAGAGGTTTAGGTGCAAGTTTCCAGCAAATATTCCCTGCTCTTTTGTTTGGTGCAGAGTCTTTAAGGAGAGAAAGGATCAGAACATAAATTAAAAATAAACTATGCGTACGAGTATTTGAGTTCGATAAATATTGAGCTAAACTTAAGACAAGTTCAGAAATACTCACGTGTCACCATCAGAATCCTTGGCAAGGAGCTGCTCCGTTGTAAGATGGGACAATTTTTTCTCTTCCTGTTCAAGCTGCCATTGGAAGAAAGACTTGCCTGGTGCATTGTTCATAGGAGAACTATTCTGGGATTGTGGCAGATGGTTTGGAGTTGGATAGTACATAGTGGATGGCACGGAACTGAAACTCTGTGCCAGAGGATAACATTCAGGCTGGGGTTCGTTCCCCACAGCCTGCTCATCAACCGACTGGAACACTTGAGACAGAGTAGGATCTGGGCTGTCTTGGAAATCTTGTAGGTGACAATTGGTTGTAAAATGCTGAAAGTTTTGAGGCTGTGGTTCGCAAGGAATTTGATGGAATCTTTGGTGTTGTTCACTGGCAAAAAGCTGCTGGAAATCCTGACATTGCTGAAAGTTTTGAGGTTGTCCAATAATTTGGGATGAGCTCGGGAGTTGAAAGTCTTGGGGTTGACCAAGATGCATTTGGATCTGCTGTAGCTCCTGCATATAATTTTTGTTGACCAATTCTTCCTCTCCCTGAAACAAATGCTCCTTCTTTGCAACATTGGCCCAACTGACCTGCACTGTGTTCAGGGAGATCTGATGAGTGTCATTCTGCAACATTTTGATTATGTCCTGAAGAACATCTGGGTTCACATCAGCAGTAGGTTCAGTTTTATGGATTTCATCTGAACTCTCAAATGAATTTGGAGTCTGTGGTGGTGTCTGTCGAAACAGAAAACATTCAACCCATTTTTTATTAACAAGGAAAGTTTAAATTTTCCCCTCTCCCCCTTCCCCCCCCCACCACGAGACAATTGATAGGCAAACTGATCTTTGCTACCAGAAAGTATTATTTAGATAATATTTCAGCATTGCTTTCAATGTCATTTGATATGACGTAAGTTAGGTCAAATTCCACCCACCCCCCTTTTTTCTGAACTCTCAAAAGAATACAACTGGTTATCATTATGTCAATGGCACTTGTGGCCTAACAGTATCATAGAAGCCACTTGCAAGTGGGCACTTCACTAAAATTACAAAATTAAAGGAAGAAATAAATTGAATACATATGTTTTGTTTACCAGTGGGTATGAAGAGTTAACTGTAGGCGATTGCTTATAAGGAGGTGAATCAGTCAGATTTTCTGGAGCCAATCTTTTTGTTCCAACCAGAAGATTTTTTATTTCTGCTGAAAAATAAAAAAATCATTAGCACTGTCCAATGGATAAGAAAAGTATTTTTGCCAAATAAAGGTTTTCACAATTTAAAATAACTGTCAATAGATGTGCTTACCTAAATATGGTTCCTCTGCTGAGCCAAGTTGGGTCTACATTGGGTTGAAACACAATCAGTTAAAAACCTTATTTATCACATTGAAACCACAATGCTACCAATTCCTTTTGTAACATATTGCAGGTAACTATTTTAACCTATTAATAAAAGCTTTAATTAAACAGATTTTCTTTCAATGAGCTCTCAGGAAATTATTTTTATTTTTAAAAAGAAAATCAATTTGACTAAAGTAGTTTCAGTCCTGAAAAAAAATTTGATTGAGAACTAAATGTTAATTTATTTTACATCCAACATGCACATGCAGCAGCATAATGAGATATTACAAGATATTGTCAGTAAGCCGGAATTATATTTTGAGTACTTTCGTGTATATTTCCTAAATGAACTTTACGACAGATGTTTCTGCGAGGAAGGAAAATGTGTACGATATGGAATAGTCGTAGTTACCCCGTAGTATTCCACCTTGGAGCTTGGAAAGTTTCGGTTGCCACGGATGTGCTCCAGGAGTGCCTTGACCGGATTCCTCACTCGAACTCCTTTGAAAGCTTGTCTCCTGGATCCTCCTTGGCCAAACTGAACCTGGTCTGTTAAAACAAATCAGAAAAGCCTTTAACCTTGCAGGGTTAACAGTCAGTGCACTGAATGGTTTTAAAAACTGAGCTCAAGTGACACAATTCAGGGACTGCCTCTCTCTCTCTCTCACTTAACTTTTTGTTTTCGGATTGAAAGGTTTTCTTTCTCTTTCCCCACCCCCCCCCGCCCACCCCCATTCCCACCCCACTCCAAAAAAAAAGAAACGTGGGAAAACGAACACAGTTTTAATGGACAAGCAAAAATATCACTCCCGCTCTCCACAACAACACAATAAAGCAGTGATTTTTGTATTTGTTCACGTCAAGACTATTATTAAAGAAAGGAAATAGAGAAGAAAATCAAGCTAAACTTTGTCTTCCAAAAGGAAGTGAAGAAAATGAACATAAAATAAAACAATGATATATATATATATATATGTAGAGAGACAGTGAGAGAGTATATACAGAGAGAGTATAGAGAGAGTATGGAGAGAGAAAAAAAGGGGTGGGTGGGAAAGATGGTTAAAGATTTAAAAAAATTAGAAAATCCTTATTAAAAAGAAATTCCGCACCCCCCAACCCCCCGCTTAAAAAGAATAGCAGAGGAAATAAATCATGAACTAGAGGCAACTAGAGAATGAACGAATGAATGCATGCAGTTTTTTTTGTTCTCAAGAACTACGAAATAGGAAATAGCCACGAAAATAAAAGGGAAACCCGAAAAAAAGCGATGAACAACGCAGAACGAAAGAGGAAAGGAAACAAACCCGTGGGACTGGCTCGACCAGATTAAAAGAGACAGGCGAACGAAACGAAATGAAAGCAGCGATTCCCATGCTGGGTTTTTGAGGGGTGGTGGGGGGGAAATACCTGTGATGGTCAGCCTGGTGTAGGCTGTGTCCGCGGGTCTGCTCTGACACTCGCTGGAGTCTGACTGTGGTGAGGTGGGGGCAGACTGTCCCCCAGGAGGGGAGGAGGGTTCGCTGTCCGGGGGCGAACTCTGGTAAAAATAGCCCAGGTTAGCGGCGTTTGGTATCGACTGATCGAACACATCGCCCAGGTGCTCACTCACTCTGTCCACGATCATCCTCCACAGAGCTTGGTTGGTTGTTTGCGTGCGTGGGATGGGAGTGATGGATGGATAGAGAGATCGGTGAGTGAGAGAGAGAGGAGGGGGGGAAACTCCAGTTAGGCTGCTTGCTGAGGGAGGTTGCGCTCTACTAAACAGATGACAACACTAGCCCTTTGTAAACTGAAGTGGAACCCTGACCAGTCAGAGACCTTTTATATCACCTTCCGGGAGTGGCCTGGTTCAGTGTTACATTTGCTGCTATGCCATTGGTCTACCAGCAAAAGAAGGGGCTGAGATTACCAGTAACCCCAGAGGGTGGATCACTTTACTGGAAATAACATTGAACAGGAAGGGGAAGGGCGGGTTCAACTTGTTTTTTTGTATATGTATGTACGTCTTTGCTCCCTAAAGCAGAAGTACATTTGGCTGGTAATTGATATTTTAACTCTTCTTTCTTTATTCAGAAATCTGATTGACCTGCTGTGAATTTCCATCGTTATCAGTTTCACTGGCCCCCTTTTGAACTTCCAGGATTAGTCTTAGGAGTTTGTCCTGCAGTACGAAACAGAGGTGTTTTTAGAACATAAGACACAGGAATAAACAGGCTATTTGGGATGTAGGAACAGGAGGAGGCCATTCAGCCCCTCAAGCCTGTCCTATTGGATCATGGCTGATCTGTACTTCAACTCCATTTACCGCCCTTGCCCCGTATCCCTTGATACCCTGACCGAACAAAAATCTATCCACTCTAGTCTTGAAAATTTTAATGGATCCAGCATTCACAGGGTTTTGGGGGAAGAGAGTTCCAGATTTCCACTACCCTTGGCGTGACAAAATGCCTCCTGATTTCACTCCTAAATAGCCTACCTCCAATTCGACCTGTAATGAAGCTACTCTGCCATATTGTTTAGTACATAGAAGTTATGTTTGATCCAATCTCTTCTCCATATCCCTTCACGTACTTTACTACCCAAGTACCTGCCCACCCCCTTTTAAACATCTGCATTGATTTGGCCATCTGGGCCAGAGCATTCCACATTGGCACAACCTTTTGTGCAAAAAAAGTCTTCCAAATTCACTTTTAACCAGCTCTCGCCCTCCCTCTCTCTGTTTCTCTCTCTGTCCCTCATACTCTCTCTCTTTCTAAATCTCTCTCCCCCACTCTCTGCCAATCAATCACTCTAAAACGGCCCTCCACCCTCCCAACTCTCTCTCACACCCTCTCCCTTCCCCACACTCTCTCCTCCCCCTCTCAATCACACTCTCTTCCAGTCTCTCTCTCCCTCTCAATTACTCTCTCTCCTCTTCTGCCTCAATCACTCTCTCTGCCCCACTTTTCTCTCCCTCTGTCTCTTTCAATCACTCGCTTCCCCCCACCCCCTCGCCCCACCCCCCCCAATCATTCTCTATCTTCCTCCACTTTCTCTCACTCAGCCGCATGGCTCACTGGCAGCGGGAATAGCTAGTATCCCAGACGCGTGGAGTGGCTCACTAACTGGCGGCAACAGGAGCTGGGTGGTTGGGGTCACGCGGTGGGTAAGGAGCCCCGCTTTGCCTTCTCCTTGGCTTGAGAGGGACTCCCTGATGGACTGCAGATCATTGAGCTGTGGGAAGTGGAAATATTACTGCCTGTTGCTGCAGTCTGTCAGGAAGCCCCTCTGAAGCTAAAGGGAAGGCAAGCAGGTCTCCTTACCCATCGCGTCCTCCCAACCCTGGGCTCCTGTCGCTGCCATGAGAGGACAGCTCGCCGAGGAGGGAGGGAGCAGATGGGTCGGATGTGGCCCGTGAGCCGCCATTGGGACTACCCTGGCTTAATATCTTATTTCAGTTAGAAATGCTTATGCAATCATCAGTCCACATTGGAAAGATTTGTAGACACTACAAGCCTAATTGGAGTCAGCTAAATTGTAGACTTTATGTCTAAGCGTGACATTTGTTATGAGGTAGATGGTATAACTTTGGATGAAATGTTATGGAAAATGACTGAATGGGTGCCTTGAAGAGTTAAATTGGTTCAGAAGTAAGAATCCTGTTTATTATTGCAGCTGTAGCTCTAATGTTAGCTGTTGATGTCATGGTCCTGCACTGTTTTAGTTAGAATCAGTTCTTGGATGCCAGACTCCAGGACAGTCCCAGCTTGTTTAAACCAGCCTGAAAACAACTGTAGTAATGAATAATAATAATCCTTGCATTTGATATAGCACCTTATCATGTCTTCGAGACATTTCAAAGCGCTTCACAGAATATACTGTAAAGTACATTGACTGTATAATTTGTGGGCAAAACGCATACAGCAGTGTTCCACAAACAGTCGTGGATTGAAGTGACCAATTTATCTTTTTTTTATATATCAGGTGGGTGAGAATGTACAGATTGATTGATACGGACCATCCTGATTTTTTTTAAAAAAAGGAAAAACACAAATGAGTTATAGCTAAGCTGTACTTGTTGAGTCATCCTAGTGTTCAGTTCCAGTTAGTGAGGAAGGAGGAACTTTGACCCGAGGTTCTGTGACTCTGGCCATTCGACCTCAACTGCTCTGCACTTCCAGAAATTTGAGCAACGTCAGAAAACAAGCAAACGAAAAGGAGAACAGAAGAACTGCAATGATACAAGAATACAGCTGCAACACAACTGCTAGAGATTCAACTTTGGTCCTTTGATTCTTTCAAGTCCTGCCTAAATACCTTCCTCTTTGACCGTGAGTTCAGCCATCCACCCAGCTCCACAAGTGTAATTTGTTGAGGTTGTTGATTCAACACCCACTATTATCAGCTCAAGAGAGGGATTAACGCCACTACTGGCCGCACCTCCCAGGCTCAACAAAGTAATTAATTCGCCAGAGGCTGTAGCTTCGAACGAACCCAAGCAAGAGATGTTTGCCTACTGCTTATTAACTTGTGGACTTTGTTTTTTGTCATTCCAGTAACATTGCTACATGTGAGCATAACAGCCAATATTGTTTGCCGTAACCCTGCCTATTGTAACTATGTTATTGAACTAATGTGACTTTTCTGCCTTATTAACTAAACAAGCTTTAAAATATAAAATACAAGTGACTTTAGTTCCTCTGTTCACAGGTTTCTAATGTAAACTTTCGGCTCACAGAATAAGCTTTTGGACACACCCTTGGCCAAGACAACAACAGTGTGGTTAACTCCACAACTAACCTTACCTTCAAACCTAACATCCTGTACTAGAGGGAAATGAGCCTGTTTTTCCTATCAGTTCCCTTTAAGTATTTTACACAGCCCGATCAAACCGGCTATTCAGTTTCTCAGCTTGGGAAGATATTTACCAAGAATATTTTGTAAATGTAATTTTGTATTGTATTGGAAGGTACTCCTCACGTCGGGAGAACATCCCAAGGCGCTGGACAGTCAGGGATTAGGATCCAAGCAGGGGGTTAGGATCAGGAGTGGTGGAGGGCAGGAAGGGAAAGGGTAGGAAGGTGGCAGAAGGGATGGTCGAAGAGGAGGGATTTGAGATAGGCCTTGAAGAAGTCAAGGAAGGGTACAAGCTGAAGGGACCGTGGGTTGGAGTTCCAAAGGGTGGGGGCAGTCATTATTCATTTCAGGAAAAATAAGGGTGCCAATTCAGGAGCAGGAGCCAATCACAGGGGTACTCTGGAAATTTCCTAATTTCCCATATAATTTAGTTATATAGTTTTTATATATAAAAATTTATATATATAAAATTTTATATATCAAATTTAGTTTGCCCGTGAGCCAGATACCATTTTCTAAGCCAAAGGTGAGTTTAGCTGTTAGGCAGCAGGAAAGAGCTCTACTAAGTGATCATTTGGAGACCATTGTGCAATAACCTCGTGCTCCTATTTTGTTTCCTGCTTGTGGTGCTGTGGATTTGCCCTACAAAATAAACATGAAGGAACCAAGTGACCAAAAGAACTCAGGCGTATTGTTGTATTTAGGTAAAGTGCTGGTTTAGGCAGCAATTCCTTAGGAACTATAGGTTGCTGTGCTTGGTATTTATTACGTATATGCTAAGTTGGGACTTTCTAGGCCTGAACGCCACAAATCTGCTGTAAATTCAAAACAACTGTACAAACACAAACGCACATGTGCGTATCTGTTTCTAAGTCATGGCACTCTATTCCCCATGTTGGGGCTTTGAGCTCATTTAGTCAAGACTGACACTTCATTACAGGGCTGGGGTGTGTTGCATTGTTGGTGGTATGGTTCTTCAGATGATAAACCAATTCTGCCTTGATGTTAAACCAAGTCTGCCTTCAAGCGCTCTGGGACGCTATATAAATGCAAGGGATGCTATATAAGTTGTTGTTGTTGTTGTTGTTGTTGCCTGTTCAGGGGAATGTTAAAAATCCCACGGCACTATTCACAACCAGAAATGACTTTCTCCCAGTGTGTTAGGCCCCCAAAAACTTCCGCCACCCAATAACATTGGTTATTCAATTAATGCTGTTTGTGTGATATTTCTGCGCACAATTTGGCTGCCACATTCGCCTACAAAATTCACAGTCACTACACATTACAGTATATCCTGCAAAGTGTTTTGAGATGTCCTCCCAATGTGAAAGATGTTATATCAACTGTAAGCCTTATTATTTATTATTAAAGTCCAGAGAGGCCAGCAATGCTAAAACTCTCAAAGGGTTATTATATATATTATTATAATAATAGTAATCCTTGCATTTGATTTGGCGCCTTATCAAGTCTTCGAGATGTCTCAAAGTGCTTCACAGAATATACTGTAAAGTGAATTGACTGTATATTTTTTGGGGCAAAACGCATCAGCCAATTGCACACAGCAGTGTCCCACAAAGAGTCGTGGATTGAGTGATGAAATTATTGTTAGCATTTTTTTTGAAGGAATTATTAGCCTCGGAAAAGCGATCCACAATCGGCTAACAACCGTGTTCCTACTTACTGGTAAACAGAGGCGTGTGGAGTAAGGAAACTTGCCCAACGTTTTGCCCTGCCCGGGAATTGAACCTACGTCTCTTGCTTGTGAGGCAAGTGCTCTAACCACTGAGCTACAGGACTCCACGTTATATTACCTGTAAATTCAAAAATGTGTCCTCTTCTCGTACGTAATTTTTTACAAATTGCTTTGCAACAGTACCCTCTAACTTCCATGCAGCTCAAATCTGTCTGTGTCCTTCAAAACCTGTCTCAAGACCCTCCTCGTCGACTATGTCTTTGGTCACCCTCCTATCGCTACCCTCTCCACCCTTCACCCCTCCTGATCCCAAACACCAGCTCGGGGGAGGATCCCTGACTGTCCAGCACTTTGGGATGTCCCCTTCACGTGAAAGACACTATATACATGTAATTTGTTGTTGTTACTGTTGTTGTTGTTGTGTCTCTTTGTGTCACTATGGAAAGTCGCACTTGTGCTAAATAAAAAAAGTTTCAAAATTGTCAAAATATTTAATATAGATATATATATAAAAGGGTCCCTTTATAGTTCTTGAGCTCCCTAATGTATCATTCAACAACATTTAAAGTACCACTGAGGAGTACAATTAGTATTGATTTGCACGGGTGCATTTGTACTGCTGAACCAACTCCTTCAGGGGTGGAGCTGCTCGAATTTGTTTCACTTTTCGCAGTGATTGCCATGGGAAATTTGCATTGAAAAACAGACTCCTTTCACTTAAACTTTCAGAAAAAGTTTGAACCTGACCCTAAAAAGGTTAACAGCTACTACCTTTACTTTCCATAACTCAACTCCACTTTTTTTTCGGGGGGGGGGGGGTGGGTGGCGGGGGGTTGGCTGGGGTGGGGTTCAGCCGGGTGTCTGATACATGCGAAAATGCATACCATGCACGGGTCCAAACCAAACTGTCCAAACCAAACTGAGAATTACATGGAACTGTATGTAGGTGGGACGCATGGAATTCTCAGTTTGGTTTGGATGCTCTTGAGCACGCTGATGGGTTTCCGCATGTATCAGACATCCGGCTGACCCCCCAAAGAAATCTCCGCTCTGAAACTTCTTCGTTTATGAGCGTTCATTGGCTTCCCTGTGGAACAGGCTCGACGGGCTGAATGACCTTGTTCTGTTCCTGATTTCCGATGTTTCCTACGTTGCTCACCATTGTACCTCTTTTAATCTCAGGTGGAACGCTAAAGGTATCTAAAGGAGATGGGATTACAAGTGGTGTGTACCCGCTCAATACATATATTGCAGGTTTCGCAAATTTTCTTATCTAAGTGAGGAAAAATCTTGCGGCCCCATTTTTGATTATCATGCAAGATATGCAGTGAGAAAAAACATCTAGTTTTAGATAATTACAGGGGAAACCTCTTTGTAGCACGATGAGGGTCCAATATTCCCAGGACACATGTTATAAGTGAGGTGTGATTAAAAAAAGTCCAACTTCCTGCTCATCAGTTTGGCATCACTTCATGCTGACAACTCATCAAACTCACCAAACCTTCTGGAAAAGATTTCACCTACAATGTGGACTCTTGACCACAGGTTTGGAAATGACTGATAGGAATATAGGGATCAAAGTATTAAGTGCTGAGTCAACTTTCCTTCCAGATACTGTATTATCAATCCACACATAAAACAGTGCAGGCCAACATAGAATAATAGAATCTTACAGCACAGAAGGAGGCCATTTGGCCCATCATGCCCGTGCGGCTCTTTGAAAGATCTACCAACTAGTCCCACCCCCACGCTCTTAGCCCATAGCCCTTCAAATGTTTTCTTTATAAGTACCTATCCAATTCCCCAGACCATTTTGACATTTGCTAGATTGGAAAGACCTTTTTTAGGACCTTTTTGCACACAAGTTGATTGATAATAATCAATACAGATTTGGAGAATAGAAAAGCTTAATTATTGAGAAAAAAAGTCAGCACAGTTTATTTGATTCAGCTCTCGTTCACATGATTCTCAGGCAGAGTGAAGGTCTGATAGCAAAGATATCATTTTACCAAAGTTCATATTGATGTGTTACTTATTATCAGAAATTAGATCTAAAACAGAATTGTCCATCAATAAAATGTAATGATAATTTGATTGCACGGCAAGTGAATCTAAGTGAAATTTACTTTATCATTTATATGGTGGATGTAGACGAGTCGTATAAATTCATAGAATCATAAAATGTTACAGCACAGAAAAAGACTATGTAGCACATTAAGGCTGTAATATGTTTCTCCACATGAACCACCGAGCTACTCCTGCTCAGATTCATATCCTTTAATATTTTTCTTTTTCAGGTAGCCATTTAATTCCATTTTAACTCCACACTTTATAGATATTTTCATCAATATTGTTTCTTATTTCTGTATCGATTAGGTTTGGTTTATGCATTGCACTGGTTCTGGATTTCTCTGTATCAGAATTTCTAGCCTGAAGATATTACTGACCATTGCCTTTTATTAGTCAATTAGTCAAGAGCTAATAATCCAGCATAATAGCCCCTAAAATCTTGGTTCACGTTGTTCTACCCTACTCAAATCATTTTAGTTATTTAGCCTCATTAATACAAATCGACTGCTGCATTTCACCCACAAAATATGCAGCCAATTCACTTTACAGTACATTCTGTGAAGTGCTTAGAGACATCTTGGAGACATGATAAGGCGTTTTATCAAATGCAAGGATTATTATTTTTATTATTACTGGCCAGTGAAAATGTCTCAGAGGTACAATGTACATCCAAATGGCAGAGTTCATGTCTACTGTTGGTCTGAATGTTACCAAGGTTCATTCACCTTGGACCTTTGATTCAATTGGAGTAACAAGACACTTTTCNTTTTTTTTTGGAGGGTGGTGGTGGGGGTGGGCGGGGTTCTGTCTAATGATACTCATGGTTCAGATGGTTCTCATGACATATACATATCTGTGGCATGAAAGGTCGCTCGCCCCAAGGTGAGTGAATCCTGGTAACATTCTAACTAACAGTAGGCATGAAACTCTGCCATTTGCATGTACCGGGATAAACATCTCCACATCATATCCATGTCAACATAGCACTTGTTAGTTTCAAAGTGAAACCCACGAATAGCAAACATGGATAACGTTGAGATCAAGCATTTTGTGTTAAGGTTAATTTTTTTGATCTCCTATCATCCATCCATCCCTCCTCAAATCCACCACAAAGTATCTACACTGTAATGCATTTATAACCAACCAAGGGGGAAAGTTTACACACATCTTAGCTTCCAAAACACCAGCACTATTAAACTATTTGATCCATCCTCATTTTATTTGATTTGATTTGATTTTCTGCCCGCAAACCTTACCGATGGGTGACAGGAAAGCCAGCTGAAAGTTTACCATCTCTTTATCCTATCCTCACACAGAGAAAGAGAGAGAGAGAGAGAAAGAGAAAGTAAGAAGAAAGAGAGAAAAAAAAAGCAAAATACTGTACCTTTTTATCGATCAGAGTAAAAAGACAGAAGACCTCGCCATTGCCTTGGTTTGAACCTTGCCAGTCACGTTGAATTTGTATTCATTTTGCTTTTTTAACCATCGTCCTAAAGGCAGGTCCTATTCTAAACGTCTGGACAAGTGGCAAAATGGTCCTCAGCATCCACCACCCCAGTCCGCACAACCACCACCCCCCCCCACCCACTACTCCCAGTTCCTTGACCCCCTTCTTTTCTTTTTTTTGCCCCGTTTGGAAAGCCGGCAAATAATAACTCGTGTTTGTGATGATAACATCTCCTACGTCGTCAGAGACTCGAGGTTTGACGTTTTGGGAAATTCCCAAACAATGCTAGATCATTGCCCCACCTCATGGCCCAAAGCTGTAACAGGCACATCATGTACTCCTCACTCCTTTGGGCACTGCCCTAGTCATCCAGATTCTCCCCCCACACCCCCAGTCAGGATGGGTGGGTGTTTTTTTTTTGTATTACCCTTAACATTTAATTTAGGGCACTTTATGTTCTGAAATGCTAAGGGGTTGTACCTTACAGGAACAGTGTTTACTGAAACAGGTTGTATTTATATACATGTATATATATACACACACTGTATTTAGAGAACACGTGTGCATTATTCCCATTGGGGTAACCACACTCAAATGAGATAGAGCCATAGGCTTGTAAGCAAAAAGCTTACGACACGCTTTCTTTTAAAGAAGAAAATGCACTTTGAGCCTTTTTTTAAACACAGTACTGTATATAAATATAGTGTGAGCAGGAGCCCTCCGGTGGTTCAGTAAAGAATAGCAACACCTCAATACAGTACAGAGCATGGTACACAAATCTCAAAATTAGTTCTTTCATTACCAGATCTCTGTTGAAACAAAGTCGACCCTGTTTTCAGCAACCATTCAGGAGACTGGACCAAAGTGGGCTTTACGTAAAGTTTGAAAGGTGGCCTCAGAGTAAAGGTTTTTGTCGGTGTAATAATAACAATAATCCGTATATTTGATATAACGTTGTTGAGATGTCTCAAAATGCTTCATAGGATAGACTGTAAATTTGGATCGACTGTGTATTTTGTGGGTAAAGCATGGCACAGCAGTGTCCCACAAACAGTCGTGGATAGAGTGACCACATTTGTTTTTCTTCGGAGGAATTATTAATAGGAAAGAGATCCGTCAATCGACTAAACAACCGGGTTCCTACTTACTGCTAGGTGAACAGAGGTGTGTGGAGTAAGGAAACTTGAGTAATGTGCATAGAATTTCTAAGTGTATAGGAAAATACAGTGTACTTACAAACTCGTAAATCAAACTAGTTTTAATAAAGTAATACAGTAAATCAATCACAAAATCAGTGGACTCCTGGAGACTAGGTGGGGACAAGAGGAGAAATCATTTGTAGGGACATAAAGATGGTTGTGGCTCAAGTAAGTCACAAACCAGGAGAGTGCAGTTCCCACTGAGGTGGATGAGGGAGGAGAGGCGATTGAGGAGGATGGCATGATTGATTACATCAAAAGCAGCGTTGAGGAGCAGGAGGAAAAGCATACAGAGGCAGTGCTCATCTCAGAGAGACGGAGGACATAATTTGTAACTCACTCTGTGATTTTTCGAGGTGGCGGCTGATCCATCTGTGAAGCCAGCAGGTGGGACATACAGTGAATTCAACAAGCAGGTTGCAGAGAAGGGGTATTAGAGGGTATGGGGAAAGAATAGGAAATTGTGCTTGGGCTTCTTGGAAATACCAACATGAAAAGATTGGCTGAATAGTCTCCTATTGTCATACATTTCTATCTTTGATCCTTAAAAGAAGGGCAGAATTTATCTCTATTATTTATTTTTCAACGGGCACGTATATGAAAGAAACACATCTACTTCATTCTTTATAATAATTTGTTTTGGGTGTAACAGATGTGGCAGGTAATGCGCTAAAGTCATCTCCCATGCATCCACAAATGCCACATTGATGCCCTCAAACATTTTTCTCAAAACTAAATCAAGCTGAAAGCAATTCCAGTCATCATTGAAGAGGCTGCTCTTAAATGAAAGACCCTGAACATTGGCAGTCTTTATTATAATTTGCGTATCCGGACTCCTGTCCAGTAATCGTACAATTGCTCTTCGAATATTCTGTATTCTTCGGATGTAAACTTCCAATGGAAAAGTGCCAAAATGCGCCCATATTGTGAATGCTATAATTATGTTCTTTCCTCCTTTAATTTCATCCAGCTCATTTGCAATGTAGTGCATGTCTTGGGTTGCAAGAGGGGATGTTCGGATTGGTGGACCGTGCAAACGAAAATTCAACAAGATGTTGTTTTTCAAATCCACCGAAAGATGTGGGCCATTTTTAATCTGTTTCCCAAGATCAAACTTTTTAAGGTCTAAAAAAAAACAAACACACTGAATCAGAATTTTGAATACAACAGTTCATATGAAAACAGAAACTTACTGTTTTGGTATCGATGTGTTCAAGAGGAACTTAGATATCCACAGGAGGGACAGGGAAACAGAGGGGTTTGAGAGGAATAAAGGAAAGGGTGACTGTGTGCCATGGCCAGGGCAAACACTGACAAGGATTGATTGGGCCAAGAGGACTGGTTCCATTCTGTACATGCTTTCTTAAATCTTTGTTCGGAACAAAAGAGAGTTGAAAACATAAATGCAAAATATTAAGTGTGAGTTGATCTATTTTGCAGGGAAGAATATGGACAAGGAATATCCACTAAATGGTAAAACCTTCAAATAACTGGAAGAGCAGAAATAACTTGAAAATAATATGCACAAATCTGTGAAAATTGGACAGCAAGTTGCAAAAACTGTTTTAAAAAAAAAGTTCATGACATCCTAGGTTTTATAAATAAGGGCACAAAATATAAAAGTAAAGCGTTAATGTTAAATCTGCATGAATTGTTGGTTGGGCTATAGATGGATTGTTGTGTCCCATTTTGGATACCGTTTGTTAAGAAGAAAGTAAGCCCATGGAGAAGGTTCAGAGGAGATTCACTGGGATGTCACCAGGGATGAGAGATTGCATCATAGCTTTTAAAAGGAATTGGACAAATATTTAAAGACAAATATAAAAGAGTATGCGGAAAAGTGAGACTAAATGAATACCACTACCAGCGCAGGCACGATAAACTTAATGTTCTGCAAAATTCTATGATCCCAAGAGGATTTTGAAGTCAGGAGGAGAAGCAGCAAAATGAAGGGATTTTGTGAGAGCTTTCTAGAGTGCAGGGGAGAAGCTGCTGAAGGCTCAGTTGGAATAAATATCACTTCTAGATTTCACCTCACTTTTCTCAAGAGTGTAACAAGCCCAGATCCTTTCTATGATAATTTCAATGATGATTTTATTGTTATTTAATTTCATGATGATGATAATAATAATCCTTACATTTGATATAGTGCCTTATCAAGTTTTCAAGACGTCTCAAAGCGCTTCACAGAATATATTGTAAAGTGAATTGACTGTATATTTTGTGGGCGAAACGCGACAGCCAATTGCGCACAGCAGTGTCCCACAAACAGTCGTGGATTCGAGTGACCAATTTTTTTAAGGAAATATTCCCCCCGAAAAGCGATCCGCCAATCAACTATAATTTCCTTCTTTCTGCCAGGTAAACAGAGGAGTAAGGAGGAGTATGCAGCAAGGAAATTTGCCCATCATTTCGCTCAGCCAGGAGTCAAACCCAGGTCTCTCGCTTGCAAGGCGAGTGCTCTAACCACTGAGCTATTGGGATCCACATAACCCTTTATATAAAATTCTGCACTGTATATTGATTTTTTTATGGCATTAGTTTCTTTAAAGAACACCAGGTCTTGGCATAAAATTATTGTGCCTGTGGATTTCTCCGCTGCAACTCTGCCCTGATCAGGGAGATCAGCATTGACAGACACAGCAAAAACAGGATTCCGGCTTAATTCTATCAATATCCTATGTAGAGAGGCTAAATATTTATATTGAAGATTGGCAGCACTTCTTAACTCCTTAACCCATTCACTGTGCTCATTGACACAAAGAACGGGTTAAGAAACTACTGCAAATTTTACCCCAAAATACTTATAAAATGAGAAATATATGGCTCTAACCTGTCAAGATCGCGCTCAAATATTCAAACCACTGACGTATGGTTGAATCTCCGTAAATGTAAATCACTTTTCCATGTAGACAGTTTGTAATGCTTGCAGAAGTGTTGAAACGGTGAATATTGCAACTTGTTGACCTCCACAGGCCATTATAGTAAAAGCCAGATGGTGACATCAGAGACTTGCCAAACACACACTCTCCAGGACCTGAAACTGCAAATGAAGAAACAAGACTGAAAACACACACCCTGCACCTTAGATACATATTACCATGGCATTTTCAAATTGGCTGATCAAGTTTCATATGAATGATAACCCACAGCAGGGTCATTAATTCTTAGTGCGAAAAGTATGCACTTTAGTATTAGCATTGCCCTTCTAGTTACTGACTTTTATGTGGATTCTAACGTTTGTTCCAAAAGATATTGCTCTGGTCTTAAGGCTTTTACAAGCATGAACCACCTCCATCTCGGTTCAATGAAATATTTCTGAGATAAAGCTATTAAGAACTATACCATTTACATTTATATAGCATCTTTCACAATGGGAGGCTGTCTATATATATCGGCAAACCGCTGATCAAACTATATCAATACGATGATTAAATAAAGACACTTACTGTCAAATCCAATTCTCATTGTTAACATTTACACAGCGAAACTTTAGCCTATAGTTACAGCCGTATTTACACTGTACATACAGATAAGAATACAGGATGTTGAGTTATATTGCCAATTCCGATCAGTTCAGACCGCCAGAAGTCACACTCCAGCTATCTAGTGCTCTGGTCAAGCTGTAAAAATAATCCTCACATTTGACATAGCACTTTCCACTGCACCCGAAATGTTGATCAAATATTGGCAGATATCTAACACGATACTTTAAATTATATTATATTCTTAAAGGCTGGAATCAGCAGGTACGGCATCAAAGGATAATTCCAAAGCAGATATTTCTCCTACGCTCATTCCTCTCCCCACCCCTCTAAGTTATATGGAGAAAGTCTATTGCATGTGGTCCATCTTGGTTAGACCACATTTGGAGTGCTGTGTACAATTCTGATCGGTCACCACACTATAAAAAAGATATAGCAGCAATGAAGAGAGTACAAGAGTAGGTTAAGTAGGATAATACCAAGGACTGGCAGGTTACTGCTATCAGGATAGACTGGATTGCTTAGTCTTTTTTCACCAGAGAAGAGATGTTTAAGAGGGGACCTAATAGAGTTGTATAAAATTATAAAAGTGTTTGATAAGGTTAGCAGAAATAGTCTGTTCCCAGTTGTTGGAGAATCCATAACCAGAGCACACATGTATAAGATAGCAACAAGGGGATTTAAAAGAGAATTTAGGAGGAACATCTTCATGGAGAGGGTAGTGAGAATGTGGAACCTCCTGTCCAAAGTGATGGTTGAAGCAGGTAGTTTAAGTGCATTAAGTCAGATATACACATGAGGAAATAGGGAATAGAAGGGTATACGAGGGAGGAACGAGTGCATGGAGACTCATGGAGATTGAACACTCACACGGACTGATTGTGTCCAATTCTGGTCACCACGTTACAAGAAAGATATAACAGCAATGGGAAGAGAGACTGAATGACCTTATTAGGTGCTGTACAGTCTATGTAAATCTATGCAAGGTTTTTTTTATCAAGTTTTTAATTTCCTCATCACTCCAACAATTCAGCTTTTTCTTACCTACACGCGACGATTTTACTACTGTTACATTTCCTGGACCTCTGGGTAATATGGAAACCTGAAGATTGACTTTGCTGAAAATAAGACACAGGTTTATTGCTGTCAGTTACTGCAGTTTGCTCAAAAAACCTCTTGTCCATTACATCAGAAATTCATGTAAACTTCTTACCTATTAGATTTCAGAATGATCATTTCTTTATTTTACAAAATACATTTATGTGGAATTGTACTTAAAAATTCAATCTATAATTAGTTTTGTTTCATATTTGATTTCTCCCAACACCTTGCACTGTACCTTGCACTGCCTGAGAAGTTGAATAGTTCAATGGTTCACTCATGATATACGAATGTCCTACGTCCCTCTTCCCTGACCCTTTATCGAATGCAATGTTTCCACTCAACTAAACTCAGCAGTTACTAATTTCAAATAACTGTCAATAATTGAGTTTAAATATTATAATGTTTTATTCCCGTGTTCACCTTTTTGTGAATAACCCTTCTCCCCTCCTCTCTCCTCAAGTAATCTCCCCATTCTCCTTCAGGTACTGTATTACGACCTGATAACAATCGCAAAGGCCTGGAAAATCCTAATACCGAATGCGCTAATGCCTCAACCACGTGGCCATTCTTCACGTACAGCCTGAATGATGACTATTGGAGGACTTTACAACCACAGACAGCACAGTCAGGCACTAACTTTTCCCAACTGATGTCGACTTTCCAGCAGGGATAGCCTGGTCAGCTGTCAGTGAGGATTGGAATCCTGGTTGATGTTCTCCCGGCTCAGCTGAGTTATTGAGGGCAATTTTAGTTCCTCTACTTTTATACCAGGTGGGAATAGATCTCTGTGGATCATAACTATCCAGTTCTATGTGATTCTGCTTCGGCTTAAACCAACTGAAATAACAGGACAGTTGTATTCAGGGTTTTAACAGTGTAATTGTAGTGAGGACACTTTTGCTTCTCTACCGTGGGTAGCGAGAGGGCAACAGAAGTAATTAAAGAAGATGTTTATTATTATTATTATTATTATTATGTTACATGGCATACCTTTTAAAATAGAGACTCTCTTCTTTATTTAGGAGCTTATTCTGATAAGGTCCCACAGAATGGTCGACACGAGCAGTGCACGAGAGGTGCTTCGGTTTGTAACAGAACCAGGGTTCCCCAGTTCTGACGTCGGTATAATTACAAATTGGTGCTGTTTCAGGCAAACAAATACTGCATATGGTGCTCTCCACAACAGTTCCTGATCTGAACTTGCTACGAAAGTACACTTTGTCTGGTCGTTCCTTACGTATCCTTTTGAGCACTTGAATCCCTTCACTGGGATGAACCAAGATAACGGACACCTCAACGTTCCCCGACCAGAATAAAGTAAAATTGATCTTGTACGATCCATTTTGGTAATCGACGACTGTTCCCACTGAACCCGCTTTGAGCTCTGGGGTGTGGATCCGGGCCTGGAGATAGTCACCTCCGTATTGCTTCAGGTGTCCTGAAAAATCATACATGTGGACCATCACCTGTAACTGATCCCCAATGTGGAAAGTGTTCTGAGAGTTTAAAATAAGAAAGTGAGAGTGTTTTGGGTCAGTGCTGTTCATAAAGGGTGTGCGAGCTCCAGGTGAGTTTGTCCATTCAATCATTTTCAACAGGAACATTTCTTCAGATCGATCTTCAGATATGGAGCTCTGATTCTGGTAGTGACAGATCAACGTTTTGAGGGTTGCAGGAACCTTCTTCATCACTCTCTGCTTTGGAATTGGGAAATTCCACATTGGCACTGATTCAGAGCTTGAGCGATTGTTACTCTGTGAAAATGAACATGTTTTAAACAAATAATTTTCTTCTTGCTGCAACTGCAGTACTTAAAACAAACTGGAACACATACCTTCCTGCAGTTAAAGAGCCAGGAGAGTGGCTTTTTAATAATAGGAAATATTCACATTGGAGAAGAGATGGCTAATGGGAGATATAATAATAATCCTTGCACTTGATATAGCGCCTTATCATGTCTTCGAGACATCTCAAAGCGCTTCATGGAATATACTGTAGTGAATTAACTGTATATTTTGTGGGTGAAATGTGGCAGCCATTTGCACACAGCAGGGTCCCACAAACAGTCTTGGATTCAGTGACCAATTTATTATTTTTTTCATATTTTGTTAAGGAATTATTAGCCCCAGAAAAGCGATCTGCCAATAGACTAACCACTGGTTTCCTACTTACTGCTAGATAAACAGAGGCGTGTGGAGTAAGAAAACTTGTCTAATGTTCGCCCCGCCGGGAATCAAACCCAGGGTCTCTTGCTTGAAAGACGTGTGCTCTAATTACTGGGCTAGAGGACTCCAAATAATTGTAAGGTGAACTGACTGTATATTTTGTGGATGAAACATGGTAGTCAACTGCGCACAGCAGTGTCCCATGTACAGTTGTGGATTGAGGGACCAAATTATTATTTTTTTTTGAAGGGATTATTACCCCCAGAAAAGCGATCAGCCAATCGACTAACAACTAGGTTCCTACGTACTGACACGTAAAAAGAGAAGCGTGTGGAATAAGAAAACTTGCCCATTGTTTTGCCTTGCCCAGGAATCGAACCCAGGTCCTCTTGCTTGCGAAGTCCTGTAGCTTGGTGGTAATGCTCTTACCACCAAGCTACAGGATCCACAATTGGTAATCTACTGAACACTTGTACCTCTGTGTAACCTTTGCTGTTGTGATATGTGAGTGTCAGTATCCTTAATGAATAATGCGTGTAGGTGTCTTGTGAACTATTATAACATTCATGACCCTGTCTATTGTAATTGCGTGAAAAGCAAATATTTAACAGACTGTGTGAAAATGAGATCTGTATGACATCATGTATGCAAAAGATAAGGAAATTATATCTGTGTGTGTGATGACCACATAGACTTTGATAGACTTTGTGGTGAGGCTCAAAGCAAGGATAGGTCTCGAATGTAATATAAATATAAATATAGCTAGTGTAGATGTTGCTGGTTAGAAAAGATCTGGGAAGAAGAAGAAGAAGAAGAAGAAGAAGAAGAAGAAGAACAACAACAACAAGATTACATTTATAAAGCGCCTTTCACGTCAGAAGGACGTCCCAAGGCGAAGAAGAAGGAGGAGAAGAAGGAGAGGAAGAAGAAGGAGAAGAAGAAGAAGAAGAAGAAGAAAAAGGAGGAACTTCTTATTCTTTTCTCCAGATTGGTAATGATGCCTTACTGTACAATTAATACTGCCTTAACACTTTTGTAACTCACACAAACATCTCTGTGAAATGATCATCTTGGGTCCTGAATCCATCAACAATTCACATCAACAATCTCAACTCTACTTTATCCATCGCTTCCTCTTTGTTTCCTAGCGCCTTGGGAAGTCCTCCCGACGTGAAAGACGCTATACACATGTAATTTTGTTGGTGTTTTTGTTTTTGTTGTTCCTTCAATGAGTTCTCCTCTGACCCTTGTATGGTCACCTGCGGTACCTCAAGGCTCTATCTTGGGTCTCCTCTTTTCCTCAAAGACATTCTCCTGCTTTGACATCATCTCCAAACATCCCCTGCAGCTTATGTTATCATCTGCACCAAGCTCCGTAACCCCATCACACCCACCCTCACTCCGCTCCACTGGCTTCCCATCCCTCAGAGAATCGAGTTCAAAATTCTCGTCTTCACCTTCAAGGCCCCCTCCTATATCTCCAACATCCTAACCCCTTAACAACCTGTCCGCTCACTCCACTCAGCAGGCTCTGGCCTGCTCTATGTTTCCCTCGGCGATCAGGCCTTCAGCTTCTCTGCCTCCACCCTTTGGAACCCAACCCCACATTTCCTTTGCCTCGCTCCCTCCCTTGCCTCCTTTAATACATGCCTCAAGATCCTCCTCTTCAACCGTGCCTTCGGCCACTCTCCTACCCTCTCTGCCCTCCACCCTCCCTAGTCTCCCTCCTCTCCAATTGGCTCCTATTCCCTGTTCAGTGCCTTGGGACATCCTCTCGATGTGAAAACAAGGCGCTTTGCAAATGTAATTTTGTATTGTATTGTAATAGCTCTGTCCAGCTATCAGTGATATTATCCTGTGCGAATAGTTCTATAAAATTACAAGAGTCATTGTATTCCACACCTCTATATGATGAACGTTCAGACTCAGGATCACCACTGATAAAATCACCATTAGCACAAAAATAATCTGGGATGCAGAGAAGAGACGAGATGTTTTTGGGACTTGTTCATTCATACTGGGAGTTCGGAAACCGTCAGTATCGTAACCTCACTGGTCAGCACTCCCTGTTTCCTGGATACAAGGAAAAAAAAACAGTGAAAGCCCCCCAAAAATCTTTGCATTTATTATAGAGCCTTTCACATTGGGAGGACATCTCAAAGACCTTCATACGATTTACTGTGAATAACTATTTATACCTGGAGGATTGTTGGCTAGGCCACTGTGAGAAACTTCCTTTTCTTTCAAACAGTGCTATGGGATCTTTAATGTCCACCTAAATAGACAGATGGCACCTCAATTTAACATCTCATCTGAAGGAGCCATCTCTAACAGCGCAGCACTTCCCAAGCACTGCACTGGAATATCAGCCTTGGCAGTGAGCTAGGAGTCCCCAAATGAAGCTTGCATCCACAATGTTCTGACTCAGAGGTGAAAGAGCTATGAGTTGAGCCAGGCTAACACAAAGGTCATGGAGGATGGAGCATTCGGTTCAAGAGTTTTTGATTCCTGAAGCAAAGCATTTCTTAACTACTATAATGAATAGAGAAGGTGGGATGAATTTCAAATGTCCCAGAAGCAACTTGCTGCTCTGCCACAATCCCAAGTACAATGTCAATTGTGTGGTGTGGATTTGATTTATGCTCATCACAAGGAACAAAGCAATCAAAAATACTCAACTATTTCTCCAATTTATGTGTAATGTCAACAAATCACTTCTCAGGTTACTTTGCGCTGATAGGAGCCAAGCAGGAGCGACTCATTCTTATTGACATTCAACTGGAGAAAGTTAACTCCCATCCAGGAATTGATGTCTGACAGACAGTCCTCAGGGCAGCAGTGATGCTGGAGTCCATAGAGAGGTAGAGTTGCGTGTCATCCGCATACATGTGGAAGTTAACCCCCTGTCTTCGGATGATGACGCCAAGCGGGAGCATATACACATTGAAGAGGAGAGAATCAAGGACAGAGCCCTGAGTAACGCCATACGTGACAATACGGGGGCTGGAAGACAAGCCGTTCATGGCACAAGATGGAGACGATGGAAACGGTAAGATTTGAAACAGGCAAGGGCAGGATAATGAAGATTGAGCTCAGAGCAGAGGCAGCTGAGAAGGATAAAATGGTCGACAGTATTGAAGGTGGCAGAGAGATGAAGGAGGACAAGGAGACAGAGAGCCCTGGTCACTGATGGACAAAATGTCATCTGTGACTTTGAACTAGGCTGTTTCTGTGCTGTGGACAGGGCGGAAACCTGATTGGAAGGGTTCATGGAGTGAATGGTGAGAAAGGAAAGACCAAAGCTGGGAAGCAACAACTCATTCCAGGACCATGGAAAGAAAAGGGAGGATGAAGATGTGGTAATTAGATAGCCATTATGGGTCACATGAATTTTTTTGAGGATAGGGGTGATGACAGCTATTTTTAAGTCGGTGGGAACGATGCCAGTGGACAAGCAGAGGTTGATGATGTCTGTTAATAGAGGGATTAGGAGGTGAAGCTGGAAGGTAAAGAGGTGCGTAGGGGTGGGGTCAAGGGAGCAGGTGGTGGGCTTCATTTTAGACATGATGCAGGTGACAGAAGAGGGCAAACAGGGTTAAAGGTGTGGAGGGAGGTTTGGGTAGAGGCCAGAGTATGGGGGGGGTGGGAGCTGCTAGAAGTAGAAAGGGCAGAGGCAGCTGAGTGGATCCCCTGGTAAGATCCAGAGTCCTACATGATCATGAACACTAAAATTGCTTGACGTAACAAGAAGCATGATGGACTTGTTTGAAAATGAAAAGTACTGACCAGAATGAAACTGCCCTTTCACACAAAACCGGGTCTTGCAGATTCTGTGAATTTGAGCCTTTGTCCGTACTTTATCTCGGGGTTGAACAATTGACAAGAGCTTACCAGTGAGTCAGCAAACCTGTCTTACCACCCTCGGTTTTGGACACGAGGAAGTCCAGCATCTCTTCGCAGTTGGAGAGGATGGGCGAGTCATGAGAAGGTGGATGGAGAACCGTATTTTGATGGAGAAGAGAAACCTGGGGTTGTCCCTGGCCTCCAAGATTATCTTGGGGTAGATGGATGAATAGGCGCATGTGAGGGCAGAGTGGTAGATTATAATGTGGTTCAGCCAGATCTGCCAATGGATTGTTAGGTTGGTTTTGAGCCAGGTTTGGAGGGAGCCAGGTTTTTGATGGCCAGCCCCTGGAAAAAGCTGCCCCTGAGTCCCTCTTCCTCGGACCTCCTCTTGCAGCGATCCTGATGCAGCCATTGAGGTGTGAATGATGGTATCTCCACAACCTTCAATTCCATTGCTCCCCTGAAATTCAGGGTTGTTTCCAAACCCATCCGCTTCCCCCGGTACAAGTCATCTCCGGCGCTCAAAACACAAACCCGGACCCTCGAGCGCAGATGACAGAAATCCGGCCTCACAATTCATCGCTTGCTGTGGCTCGAGCACCTCTGCACCTCCTGCCTCTCCTTTTCACAGGCCAAAACAGACTTTTATTCCAAGGTCATCCTGGAGGCCCAAAACAATCCAAAGACACGGTTCTCCACTGTCCATCACCTCCTCCGTGCATCCTCTCAAGCTTCCTCTAGTCTAAGGGTAGGCAATTATTTTGGCGGGCGGGCCACTTCACGAGTTTTGGTAAGCTTCGCAGGTTAATGTAGATGCAAATGCTTAATAATAGCCCCAAATCAAGTCTTACACTTGTCCATGCAGAATATAAAGTCTATTTAATTGACATTCATTAAAATTAGGTTAAATAAAAACAACTCATTGAGCAGACATTTATTTGAATTTTATTCATTTATTCACATATTGATGAGAATGTGAGAAGCTCACTCAATGGGAAGAATGAAAGCGCTGATGTGCGTCAACCAGACAATTGAAGTCAGGCATCGTCTTCGTTGTTGCAATGCGGAGTACTGCTGCAAGGTGGTCATCAGTCATCACAGATCTATGTTTTGACTTATTGAATTTCATCACAGAAAATGTCTCCTCGCATAGGTACATTGATCCAAACAGCACAAGGATCCTCCGGGCATGAACCTTTATTTTGGAAAGGTATATTAATTATGAGAGGCGTAAAAACTGGAAAGCGGCACTGATTTAAATTGCTCCACAAGCAATAGATCACATTGCAGGTCAATAAGCTTAAGTTGGAGGTCAAATGGGGCTTTGTCAACATCAAATGAGAAAGGTGAAGAGACCAAAGACAGGTCATTTTCGATCAAATTGAAATCCTGAAATCGACGAAAAAATTCAGCATGTAAGTCAAGTAATGACAAAATATACTTTTTAAGGCTTTGATCACAAACAATAATCTGCTGCAAAGTTGGAAATTGGACGAACTGTGATCTGTGATGAAATTCAATAAATCAAAACATAGATCTGTGATGATTGGGCCTGTTTCCTATCTGATGCAACAAAATAAATAATTTTGTCATAAATGACTTGACACTGCAAAACAAATCGTGCACAAAGGACCCCTTCTGTTGTACTTTGAATTCAGTTCATTCATGTAGCCCATGATATCAATGGCAAATGTGAAATCAGAGAGACCATTCGCATCATTCGGCTGTGGGAAATCCGAATCTTTTTGTTTCATGCCTAAAAATAAATCAGTCTTTGTTCTCAGTTCCCACACTCTTTTCAAGACCTTTCCTAAACTAAGCCGTCTTACATTCGTGTGATAAAGAACATTTGTGTGCTCGGATTCCAATTCTTTAAGCAGAGTTACAAATTGTCTGTGGTTTAATCCTCTTGCTCGAATGAAGTTGACCACTTTTGTAACTGTGTCCATGACATTACTTAATTTTAGAAGACTCCTACAGAGGACCTTTTGGTGGATAATGCAGTGCAGAAAAATAATATTCTGTTCTGGATTTGTTTCTTTGACTTGATCTTGAATTCTTTTCAGTAACCCAACATTTTTGCCTGTCAGATTTGGGCTTCCATCGGTGGTCACATTCACCAATTTTTTTCACTCCACTCCTAATTTTAAGATACACTGATTTACTGCCTTCAAAAAGTCTTCTCCAGTTGTCGTATCTTTCGTTGACTGCACTGAAGTTAATTCTTCTGTGAGCTCAAAATGTTTGGTGATACCTCGAATAAAAATTATCAACTGGGCTGTGTCTTTGACATCACAACTCTCATCGAGTGCCAGTGAAAAACATACAAAATTGCTTACTTTATTTTTTAACTGAATTACAGGTTCTCAGAGATATCTTCGACATATCTGACAATAATTCGCCTTGACAAGCTAACGTTCTCGAACTGTTTATTCTTATCTGGGCATAAAATCGCGGCAGAGTCAACTATATATTCCTTTATAAATTCTCCTTCAGAGAATTGTTTGCTGTTGTAATCACATCCTAGGGCGCAAATTGTTTTGTGAAAATGCTTTGCTCTTTTTGCATTTGAACAACCATCTCATCAGCTTTCTTTCCTTTTTCTTCGACAGAAAGGTTCTTATATTTGCAAGCAGGTTTGTTCTCAAAATGGCGATTCAAGTTGCAGTCTTTGAGCACTGCCACACTTTCTTTGCAAATTAAGCACATAGCTTTTCCACCCACACTGATGAAAAACATTTTAGAAGTTGGCCTTCAGCGTCCACTTTCCCCTTCTTTGATAAACTCATTTCGAATTAACGTCCTCTTCAGTGAAAAGTATTGCCACGGTTGCTGCGCACGTGTGTTTAAAAATTTCCTGATACATTTGACGTCAGCCTAATTCACCACTTAAGGGAGCGTGCGCACAACTAAGCAGTGTGATTGGCTGATGTTCCCGGTCAGATTCAGTGAAAAGTATTGCTGTGCGCATGTTTGAAAATTTCCCGATCCGTACATTTGGCGTCAATCTGATTCAACACCTCCAAGGGAGTGTGCGCACAACTAAACAGTGTGATTGGCTGATATTCCCGGTCAGATTCAAATGCGAATTTCTGGGACTGAACGAATTGTAATTTTTTCTATTGCTAGACACAACGATGGGCCGGATAGAATCATTTGGTGGGCTGGATATGGCCCGCGGGCTGTCTTTTGCCCACTCCTGCTCTAGCCTCACATCAAGCGCCAAA